AAAATATCAAAAGATGCCACAAAATAGAGTTAACTAAAATAGGAGATTATGTGAAATTTGAAAAATTCGCATCCCAAAATTGTGCTATGCAACCACATATTACCAGTGCATGCGGTCACGTAGGCATGTCATATTCTTAGCTGGTTTCTCTGTATGGGGGCATGCTGTCTTATGCCTTTTATAACTATGCAGTCACATAATTGTGATTGATATTCCATTCACCGTCACTTGAACAAGTAATCCCATGACATATTTGACTTTCTTGGCTCGTGACCTAGTCAATGGCCTTTCGTCTATAACCAACGGATCCTTATTCTTACTAGCTTTCGTATCATGGATCTCATCAGGGAAATAATGATTTAAATATTTGTTTAAGAAATAAAAAATTTGCAAATTTAAATTTTATGATTGAACTTTGTATTAATTTATTGGTTTAAGCTTATATTGAGATAAATATGTTATTATTTTAACATGTACGTAATTAAAGAAAGTTTCAATATAAGTATTGTATTGAGATTTCAAATCAATTTATTTCTTTTATTTTTCATTTACTTGGAAGATGTTATAATTATGTTGCTAAAACTGTGTTTGTACCAAATCAGAATTCAAAATGGGGTTTCGTTTGGTTTTGGTTTAAAAAAATGAAATGGTTTGGTATGATTTAATTTTTTATTTTCGAATCTTTTAAAAATGGTTTGATTTTAATTCAAAACCATCTAAATCAACCGTGAACACTTCCAATGGCACGTTACAAATTGATAAAATTTGAAACTAAATGTTTACTAAAATGAAGTTAAGTGATATAATTATACCGTTTAAAATATAGCTGAATTTTTAAAGATTTTTAGAGTTTTTTAATTAAATAACTTTTGTAGGGTTCAATGAATTTTTAGCTTTTTTAAAGTCATTTACAGATTTTATAGAATGCATTTGATTTTTACAAACTCTCATTTTAGAAAAAAACAAATCTTGTATAAGACTTATTGCTCATCTTCTTGAACTGCTACTTGCATGACAAAATTATCAACAACACAATAACGAAATTATTTTTTTTCATGTCAATAAAAATATTTTTAAAAAATATAAAAATATATAAGTTGCAAAAAAAAAAATATAATATTTCAATACTCTCTGATGAAATGAAAAAAGAAATCTCTAATATTCGATATTATCAATGTTCAAACTCGTACAAAGTTACTAAATTAAACATGCAATCAACATATAAAGATTTAATTATAAATTAATTTACTTTTTTATAAAATCTTCATTAAAAACTCATATTCCTTTTTAGAAAAATTGGAGGAAAACATTGAAAAAGAAAAGAGTGAAAAATCTTATAAGAATTTTATTTAAAAATCGACCTATTTTATAGACAATGGAGAAAATGATGAAAAGAAGAAAGATATTAAAAGAAAAAGATTATATAAAGAGGATGATAATGATAATGATAATGATAATAGATATGATTGAATACACTTAGAGTGTGTTTGATTGGCATGGAAAATATCACCTAGAAAAGAAAATATTTTCCATCTTTTGTGGAAAATAAAAACCACCTCTATCCAAGGAAAATGTTTTCCTTAAAAACAAGGAAAATTAGGCATATTTTCAAAAGTTGGAAAATATTTTCCATGGAAAAAAAATAGCAATCAAACACTCTAAGTAGGAATTTGGGTGAAAATTTGATATTTTCCATGGAAAATAAATGTAATCAAACACACCCTTAGACTTTTTAAATCTAAAAAAAATTATCAAGTCTAGATTGAATACACAATGACCATATTTCATACTCAACCAAACCCTTCAAAATTTCGAAGATGTATGCTTAAATACCTCATACCTAGGGGAGAAAGAGCGAAGGAGATATGAACTGCACCTTCAAGAGTGCGTGATGCCAATGTCATTGTTGCTGT